ATTTACTATATATAGGGTAGTCTGGTATATAAAAGAGAGTGACAACGTGACAGGAGGATGTGTGTGTAGACAGTGAGTAATTGATCTGCAGTCAGAGAGTATTATTGAGCACGTTCGTTGTTATAGAGTTTGTTTTAGCGCGATTGTTGAAGTTGAGTGTATCGGTAAAGTTATATTCGGAAATAATAAACCAGTTTTATTAAGTAAGTGTCGCTAAAGTTTCGTCGGAACGAAGTTACGGAAAGTTAATTAACAAATGGAGACGTAACACACAGATAGAAACTCAAATTGTTGAAAGATTGAATAAAAACTAAAATTTTAAAACTAAAATGTGGAAATATTTCTGCTTTTAATACAAGGAAATGTTTGTTTATTTGTTATGGATTTCACGCAAAGCTACACGAGGGCTATCTGCTCTAGCCGTCCCTAAGTTTAGCAGTTTAAGACTAGAAGGAAGGGAGCTAGTCATCAACACCCACCGCCAACTCTTGGGCTATTCTTTTTACCAACGAATAGTGGGATTGACCGTCACATTATAACGCCCCCACGGCTGAAAGGGCGAGCATGTTTGGTGGGACGGGGATTCGAACCCGCGACCCGCAGACTGAGAGTCGAGTGCCCTAACCACCTGGCCATGCCGGGCCCGCAACATTCGGTATCAGATCCTACATCGACTTCAGCCGTAAATGCCACGTACAAAGCAGTTAATGAAGAACGTCAACAGAAATTAACGTAGCAATACCAATCTATCTATTTACTGATCAACGGAAAACTAAAACATTTATCACTAACTGTCGATCGTAACAAGTTGAGTACATAGTTCAGAAGTAATTTAATACACCGTTCTTATTTAGAAGGATTAAAACGTGCACATATTCTTCAGTTGGTATCCTCGCTATTAGCAATATTTTCGGCCGTAATCTCAAAACAATATATTAAATTAGTAAAAATGTCGTTTCAAGACATATTAGAGCTTTGGCTTTAATGGACCCGAAGAAGGCCTCAGTATAGAAGCCGAAACACCATTCCGCGCTAGAAAGAGACAGGAGCTGTCCGATAAAATCAAAATTCTACTAATATCAGTGTCATTCACAAAGCAATAATGGCCGACATTAATACAAAGTAAATCATACAAGATGGGAAAATTAAACTGAATCTCAATATGTCGAAACCACCAATGCTTAACTGTTAGAGCAGTACGGCGTGTTGCTAATACCAACACATCAAAGATGTCATTTGTAGTTATCGCCGTATATATAGCCCAGTATTTACTCTGATTAAGTGTCAACCTATCTAAGACCCGTCAGGCAGGAATATGCAAAATCAATACATTACCTTAACCCATAAAACTTTAAAAGGCAGAGCAATTGAAAACCTAATTAACTTGATAACATTGTTGGAGTTTAGACCAAAATCATTCCGCACCAAAGTGTACTTTGAGAAATTTCAACCATCTGCGAACAATATATTATTAGCTTCTGAGTAAAAGCTTTTCAACCATCTGCGAACAATATTAGTATTGTTTATTATATGCTGAACTCTCGGGATGAATACATTCAACAAGGGAGGGAACCGAAACATAGCAAATACTCTCATTTACATTAAGTGACCCTTACTGGCGTGTTTCAAGCTGTGCAATTAGTCAAGAGCTGAATACTGAGGATAAATATTACAACTTGTACTCTTGAAAACAACTACTTATATCATATGACTACAACTTCGTAAATCGATTGATGATACTCTATTAGTTAATAAAATTCCTAAATATTAACGTAAGTTACTACTGTGATAAAAAGAGGCAATTTTTACCTTTAGAACAAACTGAACCAGTGAAGTTAGTCCTACTACAGTCACAGAGGTAGCGGTTCCAGCCCTCTGTACAAAAGCCCCCGTTTAAGCATGGTTGGCTATCACACTGGGGCGGTGAAGTGTGGCAGGCGGGTCGAATACTGCCCGAGTCTTGTTTCTGGGCGTAAAGGGCAATGTCCACTGCATTGTCGTTAACTATTAAATCTCTCATGCAACCGACGTAGCCGTATTGAAGCTTTCCCGACCAGAGCTCTGGTGGAATGGTTCTACCTTCTGGGCTTGTTCCTATTCCTCCGAGGTATAGGGGGCCTTCTAGGTCAAGTTGATTTGAGTTGCCTGAGATGTAAAACAATTTAGTTAACCTTTGTTATCGACTCGATTTTGACAAGCTGTGAATGCTAGATTGCGTGCCTTTAAAAGTAAAAATTATGTTCATAAAATAAGTATATGTTAAGTTCTGTAATTTAGGCGAAAACATTGATAATTAGAAATATTTTTATATGAGTCGCTTGATGTTTCTCTGAGGAGTCATAGCTACTTTCACTGTCTTTATATTTGATATTTTACTGTAATAACCTCGAAACTTAATTACTGACTCAAAGTTTTTATACATAAAGGATGTACACCACTCTTTAGAATAAACGCTGCTGCTGGGTTTGCTATATTACTTAAAGAATTAGAACACAAAATATATTTGTCGCTTGTTTACCTTGTGTAAAAAATTCGACTGAATATTCGTCTACTATAACTCGTCCAGATTTGCTCTTTCTCGTCAAATAAATTCTATGCCAGTGACCATCGTCCACTCGTCGAGTAGTGGCCTTTACCTTTACTGATCCGGAACCTAAGTTCAATAGGAGATATACATGACCTGCCAGCAGCTCGAAGGCAAAAAAGTCCCCTTGTGCGGTGGCGCCGCTGTTATACATAAGAACACCGTTGGGTTCATTGGTCCGTATCTTGAATGAGATTCTTCCCCCACGTGGGGCATCCCAGCGGGATAAGGCCTGTGGAAAAAGCTCACAATGTTTGTACTCAATTTACTAAGCAATACAAGTTGTGGGTGGTATACCAAGTCACAAATAAATTGAAGTTCAATATCAAACACTTCTATACTTAGTTTGTAAACAAACAGATTAACATACTTTTAAATAAATCAAGTGAAAAAAATATATGTAAAAAGTACATATATATATATGTCTTAAATATAACAAAAACGGATATTGCTGTGAATTTAGGTGTAAAGAACATCCGCTGGAGTTGGTTGAGAGAAATGAACAGCCGGCTTTTTGTAAATCTCTGAGAGATCAGGGGATTACAACACTGTAAATCATTAAAAACTTATTAGAGTGAGCGGCGGTTTTTCTGTTCAGCCGCTGTGGTGATTACAGAACACCTATGTTTGTAAAAGGTTGTGATCCGATATAAGGGAAACAAGTGCGCAAGGTCAAAAAGGAAAAAAAAAAGAAAAGAAAGGGACCAGTTCGGCAAGGGTTTGAGAAAGGAATATAAAAGACAGGAGTTCAACTAAAAAAAAGAAAGACCGGGAGATGTGTGAGAGGACAAATAAATCGACAGATGCAAAGGAAGAAAGTAATATACTGCCAGTATGAAGTAGAAACTAGTTTTAAGTCTACGTGTTAATGATTATAGTAACAGACAGTAATTTGTTATCTTTATACTAGTATAAGTCAATTCCTGGTAGAAATAAGTGTACCCTAAATAAAGTAGATGAGTAAGAAGGGAAAGTGAAGTGTGAGTATAGCACGATCTTAACAAAGTCGTGTGAAAGCGATCTACAACAGATATATGTAATTTTTTAATCTAATAGAAAGTATCATAGCTAATTATTATATATGCTGGTACGGAACTAGGCCGCAACTGTTTATGTTATTGGATGGTGACATTTTGTAGATTCAAAGTAAATGTTCAATGGGAATGCCTGGAAGACCAAAGGAGGCTGTCATGAAACAGGCCGCAACTGTTTATGTTATTGGATGGTGACATTTTGTAGATTCAAAGTAAATGTTCAATGGGAATGCCTGGAAGACCAAAGGAGGCTGTCATGAAACAGGACGCAGATGTTTATGTTATTGGATGGTGACATTTTGTAGATTCAAAGTAAATGTTCAATGGGAATGCCTGGAAGACCAAAGGAGGCTGTCATGAAACAGGCCGCAGATGTTTATGTTATTGTATGGCAACATTTTGTGGATTCAAAGTAAATGTTCGATAGCAATGCCTGGCAGATCAAAGAAGACTGTCATGAAACAGACCGCAACTGTTTATGTTGTTGTATGGCAACATTTTGTGGATTCAAAGTAAATGTTCGATAGCAATGCCTGGCAGATCAAAGGAGACTGTCATGAAACAGGCCGCAACTGTTTATGTTGTTGTATGGCAACATTTTGTGGATTCAAAGTAAATGTTCGATAGATATAAAAAGGGAAGGGTTGAAGAAATGATCGTCTCAGTTATTCTGTATCTTTCTGAAACTGACCTAGAGAAACTGGTTCCCAAACAATCAGATGTGACAGCAAAATGCATCTGCTGCTAAAGAAGGTGGGAAAAGGCAGAAACTTCACTTCCTGTACAGGATTTGTTTTTCAGTTTTGCATCTGATTCCTAGGTAAATTCTTTACTTTCAATTTTATATATTTTCTTCAGAAACCAATCAACTGTAGCTAACACTGGCTGTGGACTGTAAGATTAAGAGCTTGTATTTTAATAGTTGCCAAAACAAATATAAACATTAGTAGCGTGACCAATAAAATTACAAAAGATCAAATAACAACCATTGTTATACGCTTGATGTGGTCAATAGAAAGCCAATTACCTGTTATCATACGTATTGGAGAAATACTGGTACGTCTCAAAATACAAACGTTTACCAATTGGAAGTTAATGCAAATTATAAGTCAGAGATAATACTAAATCCCTTGTTTTAGCTATAATCTTGTCTACAGACAGCATAGGGCAACCTACTACATAACCCTGTACCCAAATATTTATTTATATTCAATGAAAGGCAAACGGTTTTAGCTTCTCAAACTCCCATAGACAATCAATAGGGTCTACCACATAACTACTCAAGCCAACAAAAGTCTGAAACTTTCCATAGGTAATCAAGAGAATTTCCCACCGAAATTTCAAATTTCAAATAATTGTTTAAGTTATACTGGGAACCAAACGAAAACCTATGCTTATAGTTTTCATCAGCCTTTCCATTAATCTAACATAACTAAAATTAAAATGAACCTCAAACTGCTAAAATGGATTTCTTTGTTGTTATTAAACAAGATGCAAAACTATATATGTACGGATTTAGTTTGTTCTGGAGGAAAAGCCGAGTTTGTAATTTTTGTTTCATATGAGCTTGTTTTGTGTTCAGAATTGGTAGTCAAATGGCGCATGTTTTGTATCTTTGCTTGGAGTAAACGGTTTGCTGAAATATGTCATTTATTCTTAGCGTATAACTGTAACAAGTCAGACAATACAAGAGCGTTTTACTTATCACTTTTTAATGTTCTTACTAGAATACATCTTAATACTACACCATAACAATGATTAATATACAGCAGACCTCCCAGATGTAAGAAGCAGAAAAAGCGATTCCTTGAAGTCTTAATGGAACTCATTTCTGCACAGCCTTTCTACGTGACAAATGAGCAGAAAAATGTGCCATATTTTTTGCACACGACAAATATTGTCATAACAGGTGAAAAATAATTCCAAACTATAATAGAAAGAAGAACAGCTAAAACATGTAAAAATATTTTTTAAAATTATAAAATTAAAATGGTGTTATGGTGTTGCAATAGTGAATCATTAAAGTAACAAAAAATCTAGCGTATAGCTTATAAGTCATAAAAAGTACACCCACAAACCCTTTTTCGATCTACATACGAAAGCCAAAACCTAACTTTGTTACTTGATGGACACACTTGAAAGTATGTACAATAACATGATTCGTGGTTTTTAGTATTTGGAATAATTCATAAGAACAACAAGCAAGCATAAGTAATGACTCATAAGAAGTGCATTAAACAATGAATACTTTCTGAAAAGTTAAGACAATGTACATTGAAATGGCTTCTTTAAATCGCATTTGCAAGCCAGATAAGATCTTTTTCCAGCTCGGTAGAAATTCAACTTTGGTGTTTCATACAAAAAGTCGTATTACAGTTTATATGTGTGTGTTACTATCAGGCTTCTCAGCCGTAAAGGAGAACTAACTTCCAAATTATAGGCGAACGTAATTCTTTATTCCGGAATAAATTGAATTTGAAAACAATCTTGTAGAAATTGTCGTTACTTGTTTCTGGACTTATAGTAACATTTCTAAGTAATTTGAAGATTCACATAAAAATGAAATATCCGTAACTGTGCAGATCTCGGTTTAAGCTGACAGAAATAATAAGATAAAATTTTTCCTACATATTATGAAAATGTCATAGTGGGACTCTGTTGAATAAATTGTGAGATATAAACTTCATTTAGTACCATAGATTTCTTGGTAAATGTATATGCAGTTTTACTGATGTGTGGTTTTGTAAAATATTTCCTGTCGACCAATGATGCTCATGTGTTGTAGTTTAATCCCAGTGTCTGCGCCAAGAATATTAAACTGAACTAATTAACCAGCGTTACTGAAATGGAGTTGCATCGAAAAACAACGTTGTTAAGTAATGTATTGTAAATGTACTGAACATAAACACAGATAGCAGTTTAACATTCTAGACAAGTATGTGTTTCTGCTGATTTTAAACAAACTTCGTTAGGCTAACTAAAACATTCTTTTACTTTCTCTAAAAAAACTGTTACTCTGTTCCTGGTTGTTAAATTACCTGTGAATACCAAATGTTCTGAAAGGACGTGTAATAACATTAACACTCTCAATTTTTATGAACAAGGAATGTTTTAAATTAAGATGATGGAAATGGATGAAAGAATAATTGCCTTTTCAAAAATATTAAAATGATAAATATATTACATTCAGATTACAAAAACAAAAACAAAATAACGAAAACCTCAGCCTCCCAAACGTCTAGATTTTATCCCGCAACTGCTATATAGTATATTGAGGAGATATTTTAATGTGGTGTATTTATAATGTAGGACACCATATGCACATCAAACTTATTATAATTGATAATCATATTGTCGAAAAAATAACAAAAAAATACCAGAAACGACTCCTTAGTAGTGAAGGTAATGGGGTCCGCTGCTTCAACTTCATGACACACAAACTGAAAGTTTCCTTGTGGTCGAACGAGTTTGCTTCCAGTACTGGCAAGTTCAATTAGATCCATACTTAAACTGTCTGCTAGGAACCTAACCTGTAGGATGTTAAAAGCAAGAGATCTTTAATCACAGAAAATGTGTTTTGACTTCAGTTTAGTGCATCTTTATACAAACCCAAAACCCGAGATCAGGATTTAGTTTCCTTTTAATCTTAAGTACTAAATACACTGAAGTATCCTGTTTTCACTGAAACATATTGGAGCAAAGAAACAAGTATATTTGGGTTGACGCAATACGTAAACGAACTAAATGCAATAAAATAAAAATAGCTTATTATCCTTTGAGTACTAAGCTTTAGGTTATCAATATCAACAAGTAGAGATAATAACTAAAAATCCTTACCTAATGGAATACAATTGCAAACAAGAATATTAAATCACGACAATAAAATCAAAAAGGCTTTGCTACTTCGTAAGTATCAAGCCACAAAATGATAATCTTATAATTCAGTGCTTTAATAACGTTGACCCCTTTTTCATTTTAGTAGTTAATCTAAAACGTAATTAGCAGAAATTCATTATTATATATTATAGTTATATATTATTGTTTTTTGTGACTTATAACACTGTCAGATCATGAAAAGAGATTTAAAATTAGAATTATGGTTGTTGCAGGCTTGAGATATATTTTATTGAAAAATTGCACTGATGATTAGATTACTATTAAAAAATTACTAGTTTGAAGTCAGGGTCTTAGCATGATCGAAATCGGTAGATTTTCTTAAATAGTCGTTTTTATAAACTCTCATTCAGCTAGAGTGTAGCTGAGAAACCAAATCATGATCGGATTTCTATGGCAACTAAACTTTAAATTTCAATTGTTTCTAGTTTGAATAAGAGTTCACAGTTTTAGGTATTCACTTAAAGTTATAGAGAATTTCAAACAAAGAACTAGTAGGACAAGATAACAATAACCACTGTCTTAGAATACTGAAATAGTTTTTTTAATTTCTTTATTCTTCTTACAAATTATTCTTTTCTTTTCAGAACATTGTTTTATTCTACTAAAGTTAGGGGTTTATTAAAAGGCAAAATAAGTTTTTTAAATCATTTGCGTTCCCGAAAATGAACTTTTTCAGAGCCCCGATTAACGTGTTTTTAGTATGAAACGGAAGTCTAAAGACCTCTTTTTTTATATATATGCAAATCGACTACTGAACGAATGATTTCACGAAATACTACAGTGTTTTATATCTCTGCTTTGTATAATATAACCTTACAAAAATACCTGTTTAGACTGAGGAGTTCGCAACTCAGGTATTAAGATAGAAAATTACCGTTTTTTGTCACCTGACTTTTTTCGCATCCTTAGAAATTCAAATTTCATAAAAATTAGGTTTCTCAAATTTCTTTCAAAGTTAGCAGGCAAAGCATGGTAGATATGTTTGGAAACGGAAAGTAGTTTAAGAAGGGTATAGTCTAAAAAGGAGTTAAATATCTCCAATTTTTGTTCATATATACATTGTAAATAAGTTATGAATGTAGCACTATGTATAGAACTTCATGTTCAAAGTTGGAACGATGACTTACTTTGCGTAGGCATCCAACAAAACTGACACGACTGTGTATCCCAAGATGACCACTGTTTACGTCACTGCCTCCTACGTAGAGTTCCTTACTAGACAAAAAGGAGAAGGTGCCTGCTGTGGAACCACGTTGCGTGTAGACTCCGTCCACAGCTATAGAAAGCTAGTCCCAAAACATAGTACAAATACGTTATAGTTCTTATTAACAGTTTGGGAAATTTAATTATTTAGAAGAGAAATAATTCAATAAAAGAAAAACAGGCAGTAATAGTAAACTAAAACCTAACTTACGACTCCTGTTTAGTGATAGAAATCACTCTACTTAAACAAATGCAGTAATACAGAAGGTTGAGTATGTTATATTCAAAATATTTTGGAGCCTCATCGCGTCGTTACAGTCCATATCGCGAAATCCGGTCACACTCTATTTGACAACTGTACATCTGGACAATAGCACTCCAGCGTATATTCCATTCGAAAAGACTCCGTCGTAATGCTGTCATGTATAAAGCACATCAACCTTCCCTGAATATTTTCCATAATTCATGTATATGAGGATGACGATTTCCGAGTGCCTATTTCAACAGCCCGACCGTACAGAAACTCATAGGCGCTGCGTCTATCGATTGACGATATGTATTCGTATGGGATATCATTAAAACGTGTTGAATTCTTAAGTTTGTACGCATAAACCGTTTTAGTAATGTGAATAATTATGTAATGGTGAACTGATGCAGCAAAAGATTTTGGAAAAAAAGTTGAATCTAGTGAGCAAATTAACAAAAAAGTATAAAGCTACAAAATGGGCTAGCTGTGCTCTTCTCACCGCAGGTATCGAAACCAGATTTTTAGCGTTATAAGCTCTCTGACTTACCAGCTTGTCACTATTAAATTCAGGTTTTCTTTTAAAATTGTTATTTTTTAAATACTAAATGAAAGTGCTCTGCGAGAATAAACGAGAGGTTTGTCAGTAGCACGTTTGTTTTTCTCAGTATTAAATAAACATTCTTGGTCAGTATTAAAAAATATGTAAGCTGTTAAGTTCCATTTTTCTGTGAATCTAACTCTGAGTTTGCTGTGCGCTTCAAACCATTATTTCCTGTCAGTATTAAGTTACAATTTTTTTGTTCGAATTAAGAAACATATATTCTTATAAATTCCAAACCGAAGTTTTCTGTATATAGAAAAATAATCGTTTTCTGTAGGTGAAAAATTAATGTGTTATGTTGGACCGAATAAAAACATTCAGTAAACATTCAATTCATGTTTTCTATCACTAATAATTTTGTTTGTTTGTTTGTAATTAAGCACAAAGCTATACGATGGGCTATCTGTGCTCTGTCCACCACGGGTATCGAAACCCGGATTCTAGTGTTGTAAGTCCGCAGAAATACCGCTGTGCCACTGGGGGGCATCACTAATACATTAGGTATATTGAACTTGTACTCAGTTTTAGATTAAAAGTTTCTGTTAGTACTTTGATTTCTGTGACAGTAGAAAATAAACATTTTTGTTAATATTAACATAAAGTTTCTGTCAGTATCAAGATAAGAGTTTCTGTCAGCATTAAATGTTAGTTTGTTGTTAATATCAAATTAAAATTTTCTGTTAGCATTATATGAAAGAGTTCTTTCATTACTATTAAAAACAGTACCGTTATTGTGAAATCCGATCCTTCCTACTGTTTTATATTACAGTAGTATTTAGAATATTAAGCCAAATATAACATATCTATTATACACATGCGTTGCTATGGTTATCGCCATACTTTCCAACTCTGCATATAAGTTGGCAATAGTGACGTATATGAGTCTTTAGCTATATAATATCGCTAAGTTTAGGTTTCGTTTCTTCTATTTGAACCACCTTAACTATACTATATAGTCATATGTGCCAAAAATAGATAGGAAATTATATGTGTAAAAAAAAAGATGAAATACATTTATACGTTTGTTATGGAAACAATACTTGCTTTTTAAATGTACAATTTACAAATCATAAGAGAAGCATTGTTTAAAGCTCTGATAACTGTGAAATTTGCTTCAGTTCTCAGGAACGTGATCAGAAGACTTCGCAGAACGAGCATAGTTTCAATTCATAGCTCTAGATCAGGACAGTCATATTTAATGTGCTTATTCGAGAATTATTTAGTGAAATTAATAAATGTAGTTTTAATTTTGTTATTATTACTTTGTGCTGTCAGTCAATAGCTTCTCAGGACATATTGCATATTCAAATAGGCTTTATTTACTTTGTGCGCTAATGTTTTGTTCAACAGAAAACAAAATAAAGAAGGAAGAGGAGTCAAGACGCAATGCGCGCTCAAATAAAACTACGAATGAGCGATTTAATAATAAAAACTTTCAAGATAATTCCGTTCGAATTTCAAAATATGTGAATGTGCTCTTTCTTTTATTAAATGTTTCTTGTTTGTTTGGATGGTATAGTCAATGTAAGCTATAAATATACTGTCGAGTTGTGCCTTGTGTCCGATATAAGTAAATGTTTTTTGTAATATCTTGAAGTTTGGTCAGTGTGTTTCTCTTTACTTTAATTAATGTTTCCTTGTGTTTCGTTTTTGTATTTGTAACTTTTATTTTCTTAGATTTATTAAACTATTTTTTTCATTTTTAAAACGTTCTTGATCATAAACTTGGTTTATTGCCCACTATTATATATACGTTTAGATAACAAATTTCTAAACCGTTATTTTTGATGCGTGCTACAAAGTTTTGACATAATTGCGTTAGAGATTTCGGCAAGTACAAAACTAATATTTATTACTACTCAAGAATATATTAATCAACTCTCTCCAAGTGATTTCCACAAGGGTAAAAGTGTTATTAACCGTATTATTAAGCAGTCTAAATGATTTCCACAAGAGTAAAAGTGTTATTAACCGTATTATTAGGCTACAAGTATCTATTTTCATTAGCTCTTGTAACTAAAGGAAGAACAGTAGGTCTTTTTCTCGATATTGAATATGTTTTTGTTTGAGTTCACATTGAATGTCTTCTCAGAAGACTCTATCACCTTGGGTATAGATGTTGCATCTTACGATGGCTCAACAGTTTTCTCAATCAAAAAATGATTTGTTCTTAACTTTATTTAACGCAAACTGAGACATTTCTTTTACAGCTTCTTCAGGAGCTACCGAGTTCGCTAATCCAGTTGAATCTAAATTGGAACCAATTTAGTTCCGTCTGTTTGATCTTCTGATAAGGAAATGTGTATGTTGATCTTATTGGTAAAGATGCACTAACAAAATCTTTTTTTTTCGTTATAAAAAACGTGAGTTCCACCATATTCTAAAAGCTCATTACCGTTAGTCATACGACTGAGTATCTACAGATACAAATATATTTACTCATAGGAGTTTTCCTTTTCAGTTATCAAACTAAATACCTTGTATCTTTCCAGAGACATTCATACCCCTCCCCCATGGCACAGCGGCATGTCTACGGATTCACACAGCTTGAAACCGGGTTTCGATACCCGTGGTTGGCAGAGCACAGATAGCCCATTGTGCAGCTTTGCACTTAACTACAAACGAATAAGTCATATGCTTCAATTAAAGCTAGCTCAAATGCTTCTGTCAATACTCACTACTAATCCAAACATGCTATCTTTTATATATACTAAAACGAAATCTTTAGTCAACACTAACTCAAAGTTTACAAATATAGTGAATCCAATATTTTAGTTAACACTAACTCTTAAAGGCTAAGGAGATACGAAATTAAAAGCCTTAATCACAACTCAAAAGTTTCAGACACCACTAACATGGGCTTTAGTCAATGCTGAATTGTTTCTGTACTGATTAAAAATTTCAGATAATGGAAAATACAAAAAGCTTATGTTATTATTAAATCAAGAATTCAACGCTCAATGGAAGATGTCTCTGAATTATTTTTAACAAGAGTCTGTGGTTATAAGTTTATTTCTTTTTACTAAAAAGAGATGTACGTCATAGATTATGACTGGCTTTGTTGGAGCTAATAAATCCTACTTTTACATAAATGTATCCTTCCGTGAACTAATTTACTTCGATTACTTTCTGTCATAAGAAAACAGGTTGGTTCTATTCTCTGCTACTTCCGCTTACTTACATATTATTACAGTATAGTTTTAATTGCTATTTACTTCTTTTTTAACATAATAAGAAAGATTAAACATTAGTATTTCATGTCCATGAATATTCTCTTCAACCTTTCAAAGGGATAAAATGTCTTGATGAAGCAACACTAATGTAAGAAAGACAAATTATATTTGATTAGCAAACAAAACTAAAACCGTTTGTCTAACGATCAGGTAATTCGTAATTTGAGGCACATACATCCGCTCCACACAAGGCAAGTAGTGATGTGGGGCATTATACTTCCCAACGTAATAGAACCGTTGTGTTCTAGAGGATACTTTCTAGGTATACGTTAACAAAATCATGAATTTTAAAAAAGACCCAAACTCAAGTGGTTTCGAATAGATGGCTAATCTTATTCAGGAGAATAAAACTGAAGAAGAATAGTCAAGTATTCGAGAGCGCTCGAGTTTTGGGTCTTTTTTAAAATTTATTGTACGTTTTGTATGTGATCCTGTGTGCTAACTCTTTTATCAGAATTAACAAAAACATATTAAAAAAGCAGATTTTTGAACTACAACTTCCACATTCTGTTCATTAACTACCCAAGAACGACAAAATAAAGTTCTTATATAAAATTTTAAGTTTCTTAATATTTAAGTAACGCTACCAACAAACGATATTAATTTTTTTTCTGATGGTTCTTGATGTTGCCTTTTACTGATTAATGAACTAGGTATAATGAGAAACAACAACATCTAAGCCTTGTCACACTAGTACATGGGTTTTACTTGTTGTTTGTTCTTACCTTGTTTAAGATTCTATATTTTCTTTTTTTTTCAGGATAGTAGGGAATAAAGTTTTAAAGTGGTTGCAGCATTTCAGTTAAGGTAAAAACCGAAACGATACGTTGTTATCGATGAATTGTTTCATTAATTTCAATTAGTTACTAGTTCATAATATTAGGTACGTAAAATACAATCATGTTTGGTATGTGATATAGAGAAAAAATGGAAACTAACTCCCATTTTATTTTTAAAATGTGGCAACAACCAAAACTAAACATTTATTACGTTTCGAATTTA